ATTTGCCCTTTAAAGTTTTATCATATATATGGTTTTCCCTCGGGAAATTCATTGCAATTAGTGAAGAATTCACTTCCTTCACTAATTTGCATCACTAAATTATATATTTTTTAGTATTGAAAACAAATTGAGGAAACTAAAGCAATAAACAACACACCAATATATATATTAAAACTTATGAAGAAAAAAATATGTTTTAAGATTGTCAAATACTATAGAGGCGGGGAGGTAGGTCTAGTAGGCGGTGTGTCCGGTCTGGTAGGTTCGAGTGTTTTGTGCCTACCAAAATTTCATTTAGGAGAGACACATGTATTACTTCAAAGAAGTTCCTAACAACCAGCTTGTTCCAAGGATATAAATAATTTTGTGCAAGTGAGGGCTAAGGTGCACTCATACTTTCCATTGTTCACTTTACCTCTTTTTTAGAACTCATTAACTCCCTTGGACGTTGAAATATTAACCTCGTAGGACCATTCTCTGTGATCCACCGCATCAGAGACTTATAACATCGCATAAGAAGTCCAATATCATAATCCAAGCATAACTATAGTGTCAATCTATAACAAAAAATTCCATGTTTGGCTTGTTTAATTTGTGGATATATCATTAATGTTATAATGTTTTGTATAAATTTAGAGATCACCTAAAATACTCTGAACTAATATAAGAGATATTAATAATATTGTAAATTAATATAAAATATTTTATAAGATATTTATAATATTATAAATTAATATAAACGACATTATAAGATATTTATAATATTTTTATTCTAACAATTAATATATTATTTTTAGGCCCATTAAGGATCTGTATGGTTTTCTATTATTTCTTGAATTTCCTTATTTCTTGAGTCTAACAAAAAAAAATTGAAACAACTTATGAAGTTTAGTTTGATTTGAAAGTATATAGGTTGTGAAAATAGGAGATGTTATGTTGAGGAGACGTGGTAAAATCTGACAAAATCAGTATTATTCTAACACCTCAAGCCTCCCAATTATGCATGTTAGTTTAGATCCCAGTTGACTTCTAGTCTTAACCTCCTGTTTGTTGAAAATCCTCAAAGTAATTTTTATATCTAGTTAGGCACCGCCTGTAGTCACTAAGAAGGTTGGTCGATGAATAAGAAGTGAATGGTGCTTTGCTAACAAAAATGAAATAAAAGAGAAGGAAAAAACCCGCATTTACTAAGTTAGTGACCCTCACCCAGTCATTTAGCTCAAAAGAAGTGGTTTGAGCTTTAAAAGAAAGAAAAAAAATCATCTTTAAAATAGAAAGAAAATTTGAAAAGATGTTTTGATCATTATCACTAACAGACTACCTACCATGTTGTATGAGCGATAAATGGTCTAAAATCATGTTGAGCACAAATATCACAATATTTCTTCCTAAAACTCATCCTAAAACCATGAAAGCAGGCCACGAAGAAAACATGCTCAATCTGAAACTTCCACAAACAAGAATAACAACAACCCAAACATGCTCTACATCACTTCCAAAACTCAAATATGGCAAAAGGAAGTTCATAACACGTAAGGCATGAGAGAGCAAGGTTGAGAAAAAAGATACAAAAAATGGAGAGCTCTATGGCTTCTGTTACTTGCTCAATGCTTCACCAAACTCCTCCCGAGCTTTCTGGGAACTCAATGATGAAGATTGAAGCAAGAAAATGGAGAGAGGAGCTTTGTATAATTAGATTCAAAGAAATGAAATTTTGAGGAAAATGAGAGAGCTTTTGTTATGATTCTCATAAAAATGAAGGGTGTCTTTTGTGTGCTAGGATTTTTAAGTATTTATACGAGGGTTTGAGTGAGTTAAAAGTGTGTGACTGTGGTTAAAAGTTTTGGTTAATGATTTTGTGAAAATTTTGAAAATGTGAGTGAGGAAAGAGTTGTGGTACGAGTGGTATGAGGTAGTATTGTTGTGGTTGTCCTTGTGAGTGGAACTGGAGGAGAATGAAATTAGAATGTTATTCTTGGGAAGGATTCTTGTGGAGCAAGTTTTATTCTTTTTTTCTTTTGAGAAAAAAGTTCAAAATGGTACAAGTGAATACATGAGAATGTTTGGCTTGAAATGACAATGTTTTTTTGATGGTTTAGCAAGGTTTCATGCGCATGAATTTGTGGGAATAAGGTTTCTGCATGAAAAGTTAATGTTGCTCACAAAATGATAACACATGATGCCTAAGAAACATATCCACCTTGCCATATTTGAACCACCATAACTAAATGAATGCTTGGGACCATGAGAAAAAATGAGTAGAAGTCGGATGCAAAAATCTGCCCAAAATAACTTAGAAAAAATTCTAAGTTATGGACTTTTAACAACTTTGAAACTCTGAATTTGAAGCCGCATAACTTGAGTTGTATTGATCCAATTGAGGAGATATTTTCCTCCATGGAAATCTTAGAACATGATGAATAACTTTCATGTTGAAAGAAAAGTGAGATAAAGCATGGAACCTCATAGAATTTGGCCTTGAAAACCCAAACATTTGACTGAATTTCCATACTTAGATAGTACGGAAATCTTGAACCTTAATTTTTCTCAACTTCAACTCTTCATAACTCTTGATCCATGCCTCTTTTGACTTTGATTCCTTCTACAAACGTGTGGTACATGGTGTCCTTTTCAATTTGATCATTTGTTTGCACCATTTGGCTCAAGGATGAGTGAGATATGATTTTCTTGCAAGATGGGTACATATCTTAATTTTTCATACTTAGAAATATTCATGAAAAACCTAATTTGGAAACTTCTCATGGTTTAATGATTTATCTTGATCAAACCTCATGATGACATGGAAAATGACATGAAATACCTAAATTTGACCTAAGAGCTCAAGAGTTTGACTTTGTAAGGTATCAGTTGAATTTTTTACCAGATGAATTCAATGCCTCCTCTATGTATTTAAGGAACCTTTGAATTGACTTATGATCGGAACCCTTGAGATGTATGTTGAACCATAGAGGCTTGCTTTACTCAAGAAAACCATCACAACTAACCTTAGAACCAAAACCCTAGCTCAGAGCCACTAGGAGCTTAATCAGATGGATCCCTTAAAACCAATGAAGCCCTAATCCTTAGATAATTGGGTGAACTTGTTGATGGTACCTTGATGAATAGGGAACCCTTGTAGCTTGAGAATACCATGATGTTTAGACTATCTCCCTGTTCATTGCTTTGAGAATTAACTCCTCCCCTTGAAGAAAACCAAAGTACCTTGATCTCATGTCTTAGAACCAATATAACGCATAAAAAGATGATGCAAATGAAATGAAGCATAAGTGAATTAAGGTTGAAAAGGGGAGGACACGTTTTGGGGTACAACATTTTTCTCTCTCTTCAATAAACCTCCCCTATAGTCATTTCTCTCCCTTCTTTCTTTCTTTCTCTATTCGCTTTCTATTTCTTTCATCCTTCCTTATAGACCATTTCAAAAGCCACACCCTTCCACCAATTTACTGCTTCCTTCTTCTCCTTCTCTCACTCATAGATTTTACCTAATTTCAAAAATCATTATCAAGTTTCGAATCCAAAGGTATGTTCTTTCTTATTATATAATAACAATCGACTATGTTATCAACCTACAACATTCAATTGATATTTTTTTCTTCCAATTTTTCATATTTACGGTTATCATTCTTTATCGAAACCCCCATTTTTTGCGTTAACTGTTAAATTTTAGTGTTAATGATTTTATTGAGAGTTAAAGTTCAAAAATTAATATTTTGTTTTATTATTCTTAGAATTGATTTGTTTCCAATTGTGAAATTGTTTCCACTTCTCAAATTATTTCCATGTCTGCCCTATTTTTCTATTTATGCTAAAAATTTAGATCTTCTAAATTTTCCAAATGGATTGTTTACTTTTATACTTTTGGTGGTGGGTGGACCTATTGTTGTGACATAAATGTGGAATTATTTGTATGTTAACTTGTGGTTGTTGTTTTTTTTAAATTTTTTGTTAACTTCATACCTTTTATTTTTTAAAAAAGTAGAGCAATATATTTTACTAGAGTTCATCCATGTAGTTCTTTCAAAATTTTGGTTTAAAAGTAATAGATGTGTTTATTTGTTCATGTATTTACTCTCAAAATTCCTTCTTTCCTCATTCTAGTTCCAGTTTCAGGTTTGATGTGTTGCTATTTTCTTTTTTGTTACTTTCTGATATGTTTTCTTCCATATGTTATTGTTGCTTCATTGTGTGGGGACCGAGTTACAATGAGATTGTGGCAGCACTCGGCAGAATGACAACTTTAGGTGGTTCTATAGCAACACTCTAACAACAAGTTGTGATTTAACAACTACATCCCAACCATCTACAATGGTTCGGGACATGTGTGTATAAAACATTTTTAGTATAAACCATATTCAAGCATGTATATAAGTGCTTAAGTTAAAGTTAATAGTGTGTTTATAATTAAGCTTTGTGTTGGATTTGTTTCAAATTCAGTACCTAACATGATGAAGTGGATTGACATGTTTAGTATTTTTTTTTAATAATCAAATATTATAAAAAAGAGATTAAGGAAATCTCAAACCAACAAGAAAACAACCACCTCCAAAGTCAAAACAATTACAAAAAGTCGAACGGGAATTTAAACCATTCATACAATCTACACTGATTACTCTCCTCTCTTCCTAAAATCAACCAATTCCACGAGGAAAATTTAATTTCAAAAATAATGTCATCTACTTCAATGATTTCATTATTGAATATTATGTTATTTCTAGCCCTCCATATAATCCAAAAAGTAATAAACCATATAGAATTGATCTTGTTCGCTTGACACCAGCCATTAAGTCTCGAGTTCCAAACCTTCACATGAAGATTACAACAAGCCTCCGAGATGTTCTCTATATCCACCCAGTCGCAAGTCTTTTTCCAAACCAACGAGGATTTGATGCACGTGAAGGAAAGGTGGGAGACGTCCTCGTAACTCCGCGTACAGAACGCACAATCCAAATGATGGGCATTATGAATCACCCTTCTTTTCATCAAATTAGATCTAATAGGCAGCCTATCAAGCGCCATCCTCCAACTAAAGTTTGAACTTTCGCCAGTAACACTGTTTTCCAAAGGATCTCCAGAAGGGTTGCAGTATCATTTCCAATATCATGAACAGAGGAAGAAGAGGTTAAAGCAGAGTAAAAAGAGATAACCTTATACGACATTGAGTTGTCAAGTAACCACTTCCAGTTATCGGACTCATTATTGTTAACTGAAACATGTTCCAACATATTACGATAATCGGTCCATTCTGGTTCTATAGGGGATCCTGCATCGATCACATTTTCTCTAATTTTCCAAACCCACTGCCCATCCTCCCAAGCTCCCATCTCACTGACGGTCGACGCCTTCTTGGAACAACCCTGAAACAGCTGTTGGAATATACTTTTAAGCGGCAAATATCCAATCCAATTTGACTTCCAGAACGCCGCACCATGACCTTCTCCAACAGAGCAAGTCGTGAACTTGCAGAAGTCCATATGGGGGTCGTAGATACAGCTTGACATAATATCCTTCAACCAAATAGAGTCGGATTTCAAACTACCAACATCGATAAAATTTTTCAACTTAATACTCAAATTACCGTATCTGAGAGTGAGGGTCTTCCTCCAAATTTCATTTCCACCGCTTTGAAATCTCCACAACCATTTTGCTATAAGAGCACAATTAAAGCGACCTACGTGTTTAATTCCAAGACCTCCGTGATCCTTCGGTTTGCAGACTGAGTTCCAAGATATCCAAGAGATGAATTTTTTACTGGAATTCCCAGCCCATAAAAACCGATGTTGGATTGCGATGATTTCGTTCACTACTTTTTTGGGAGCCTTGAAGAAAGCCAAGTGATGAATAGGTAGGTTAGCTATAACCGAGTTAATGAGGGATACTCTACCTCCCATTGACAAATTTCTCCCAGCCCAATTTGAGAGCTTATTCCTCAGGCAACAAAACACCGGGTTCTAAAAGGAGTGACGATTACCTCCAACCATAAGACCAAGGAAATTGAACGGCAGTCTGCCGGATTTACAGTGCAGAAACGCTTCAGCAGCTTCAAGATAAGCAGGATCTACTCCTATCCCATATAGACAGCTTTTAGAGAAATTAATTTTTATACCAAAAATTAATTCAAACGCTTGCAGAATAGCCTTGAATGCCCAAATATTTGTTATTGAACCATCTCCTATAAGAAGAGTGTCGTTGGCAAATTGAAGCATGCTCACAGTGGCTTGATCATTAATTTTGAAATTTGTTGTCAAATTACCGGCAGCCGCGAATCTCACCAAGCTAGACAAACCCTCTGCTACGATGGCAAACAGGAATGGAGCTAAAGGGTTGCACTGCTTCAGCCCCCTGCCAACCTTAAAATCCTTTGATGAACTTCCATTAATTAGAATCAACACGTAGCTTTTAAACACAGATCAAAGAATCCATTTTAACCAATTAATACCAAATCCCATCTTAACAAGCAAACCATCTAGATAAGACCAGTCAACACAATCGTAAGCTTTAGCAAAATCGACTTTAAAAAACAGACACTCCTTGTTGAACCTCTTAGCATAGTCTGCTATTTCATTTGCCAGAAGAACCCCATCATAAATTTGCCACCCCAGAACGAAAGTTGTTTGAGATGGAGATATAAGTTTACGGATAACCTTGCTCAATCTGCAGGCAAGCATCTTGAAGATAACCTTGAGAACACAGATGACAAGAGTTATTGGCCTGAAATTTTCAAAATGTTAAGGGTTGTTAATCTTCGGCACCGGCGATATGAAAGAAGACGCGAACATCTTTGGGAGAAAACCTGTCTTGAAAAAATCCAAGACACAATTCGTGGAATCCTGGCCAACTATATCCCAGCAAGATTTAATGAATTTAAAATTAAAACCATCGATGTCGGGGCACTTGTTACCATCACATCTGAACACAACCTTTCTCACTTCAGCAGAACTGGAGTCTACTTCCAAGAACATTCTGTCCTCCTCATCAAGACAAGCAGCCAAGGCAAAGTCGCCTCTAAACTTAGACGGGTCTAGTTGCAGATATTTATCCTTAAAAAACTTCATGGCTTCAGACTTAATACCCTCAGGATCTTCCTCAATTCTGCCTCCGACTCTAACAGCTGATAAATGATTCGAACGATTACTAGATTTTAAAGATTCGTGAAAAAAAATTTGTGTTAAGATCCCCGTCTTACAACCATCTTATCCGGGATTTCTGGGCCAACATACTTTCTTTGAGCCTTAGGTTCTTCCACATTTCCTCCTGGTAACGCAGTCTCTCCCTATCCAATTCTGCAGCTTAGGGGTCTGAGGCCACAACAGAGTCCAACTCTAGCTTGTTGAACTTATCAATATTATCCTCAATCTTTAGCTCCAGCCATCCAAAAACATTGTGGTTCCAATTCCTGAGATCATTTTTAAGGGCTTGAAGTTTCTTAGTCAGGATGATGCAGGAGGATCATGTGATTTGATACGAGTTCCACAATTTCATGACAAAAGGAATGAAATCCTTGTGAGAGAACCAACAATTAAAGTTCCTAAAAGGTTTGGGCCCCTAATTGACGAAGTTGGACTTCAACCACACAGGTCGATGATCCGACACATCTCTATCTCCCACCACTTGGTTCTTCAAGGATAACAATTATATAACTCGATCATCAACCAAAATTCTGTCCAGTCTACTTCTGCTCTTACCATTAGAATTGAACCAAGTGAATCAATTTCCAAAAACCAGAAGATCCATCACATTCAATACTTCAATGAACTCACTAAAATCCTTCATATCCCTACTACTGTTACCACTTAAACCTTTCCTTTCCTCCCTGTTTTTCACCGCATTGAAATCCACCCCCCCCCCCCACAATCCAACCAACACCAGAAAAATTGTTTTTAACTTTAATCAGGTTTCTCCATTATTTCCTCTTATCAGCTGATCCACAGGGGGCATAGACATTGATCACAATCAAACTTTGATTATTCCAAACAATGTGCAATCCCAAGAAACCTTTCCCACAAAAACTTGAGCAAGTTGTGATTCTAGTAGTATTCCACATGGTAAGGATACCACCAGATCTACCAAAAGAGTTCTGGGCTGTCCAGTCCATATCATTATTCCTCCACAGGCTATAAGAAATACCAGCCTCCATCTTATTTATCTTGGTTTCCTAAATTAAGAAGATGTCAGCACTTCCTCTCTATAGAATTTGAGAAATTCTCCTCCTCTTCAAACAACTACAACATCCTCTAACATTGAAAGAAACTATATTCATGGACCACATGTAGCTACATCCTTCTTGCCTGACCTAACTTCCTTGTCTTCCTTATCCAATTTCCTTAGAATACGCCTAATACCCTCTTCATCATCACCCTGAACACCTAATTCCTTTAGATAATTGCTCAATTTTGATGGAACATCTTCAATGGCCCTTCTGCATCTCGAATTTCCTCTTTCCACATCAGAGTCAGTTATCGATTCACAACACAAAAGAGCAGAACTTGACTCAGAAAAATCTCTATTCAACTTTTTCTTCTTCCTTTCCTCCCTAACAATACCCCTCGACAAAGATCCAAGATTCTCCTTGGGAGCCGTGAGAAGCAGGGTGGAAAAATAAGAGGGGGTGTAAGGGATCTTAATGCAATTATAGATCTCATGAAGAAGCTTTTTCTTTTTGACTTTACCTCTATTTGCAGGCCCAATAACTCCTCCTGAAGGCCCAGTAATTGGCATAGGCAGCCTCAAATCTACTACCAACTCACCATTAAGACCGAGTAACTCATTAACCTCTTTTTTCTGGTTTAGTTCTAAGTCAACCATATGGTTAACTGGTTTGGTTCCTTCTTAACAATAAATAGCAGCATGATTCTTGTGGCTGCTCCCTCTTGACCCATCACCTGCCACACTTATCCCAAAGTTATCCCCAACAAAAGTTACGTTATCTGACATAGAGAAATCATAGTCTGACCCTTGAACTATAATAGGTGGGGCTCTGACTTTTGGCTCGGTATTCAAGAAATTGAATTCATCACTCTCTTCCTCTTCAAGCAGCTCCCACGCGCCATCTAAGTCTAAAGAGTTTGAGGAGTCATAATCGTCAGAATTTATCACCTTATCTTCTTCACCAAACAAGGGATCTCCACGCCCGCACGAGAAATCTTCAAAAAAAGTTAATGAAAAGGTGTGGTTGTTCACTTCAATATCAACCATGTTGTTCAGAATAACCCATTAATCTTGTTTTTAAGCAGAAATCTCGCTATGTCCATACAATCTTTATTCCTAGTCTTCTCATCGCACTTGACGAATGTTCCCAGACTAGAAGAAATCAACCGAAAATTATTATCACTCTAGGCGGCACAAGGTAGACCATAGCATTTTACCCACACAAACCTGTCTCTATCGATTTCCTCCAGATTCCACTTGTGAATGTCTCTGAACCAAATATTCAACCATTCACTAGATTCCTTAACAAACACCTCTATGTCACCACCAGAAGTATCTTCCAACAAGCACAGGGATGCTCCCAAGGGAGTAGCCTTAATGTTAAAATAACCTTCTTCATAAATTACCTTCTGGATGTTGTGCGCATTTCCATCTTCCATGACTTCACCCACTCTCATTCGTTTTAACCTCCTAAACCATTCATCATCCACCTCTAATTTTGTGCAGGAACCTCCTCCCATGACCTTTCCATCAGGCTTAGGATCAGCACCTCTAACCACTTTGGCAAACGACCTATCCAAAGTATCGAATTTCTCGTAAACTTCTTGGGCGACCAGTTTGGTTAATCTTCCTCAAATTCTCACTAACCGAAAAATGCCTCTTATTTTTCATACTAAACCTGGGGATATTAACGAAAATCTTCTTTCCTTCTAGGACAATACTATCAAGGTTGCAGGCAAGGATTCGGGAATCATGAACTTTCCGAAATTTAGCAAAACCAAATCTTTTACCTCGCTTATCTCGCCTAGCAGAAATGAAAACTTTTGAGATGACTCCGTAAACCTTGAATACTTCGAACAGGTCTTTAGCATTCATCTTCTTTAGGAACTTTGTGACGAAGAAGGAAGTCGTAAGTTTACCGGAAATTGCTCATTTCCCATTGTTCTCCTTCCATACTGAGAATCCTCCACTTCTACCATTTCTATAAATCCTAACAACCCTTTCCCAAGCCATGAAGAATCCGTAATTCTGATCCGAATGAGTACCAGAAGATTATCAAGGCCCCTAAACTCGAAAGTTAGAAATTTAAGTTGAAGATAAGCACCTAATCTTCACTGGATCTTAGACATGCAGTTGATTGTTGCTGAGATTGTTTCTTTGAGAATTTACGTTCTTTGTTCTTTGAAAGGGTGAAGCATATCAAAAGATATTGTTTATTTTTGTATTTTGATTGCTTTGATGTGTTAGGCTGGGAAGTTCATGTGATACAACTAGACAAAGTTATAAAAAGAGAGTTATGGAATCAATGGAGAGACGACAACTAAGTGGAGATGGGCGAAGAAGGCCCAATTTCTTGCGATACAACTAGACAAAGTAATAGGTAAAACTAAAGTGCATGTTTAGTATTTGATTCTCATTCTATATATATATATATATATATATATATATATATATATATATATATATATATATATATATATATATATATATATATATATATATATATATATATATATATATATATATATATATATATATATATATATATATATATATATATATATATATATATATATATATATATATATATATATATATATATATATATATATATATATATATATATATATATATATATATATATATATATATATATATATATATATATATATATATATATATATATATAATTTGTATTTGTGCCGACATATTGTTACATTTTGTCTATCTTCTTAAGTGTTTT